CCACATAATATTATTCAAAGGGTCGAATGTAATATATTCTAAATAAATACATAGACACGTTTTGTAGGGGTCAAATATGCAATTAATCAAGTTGAACAATTTTTCAAATACGAAAGGACAGTCGGTGCTTATTACGTCAAATAAGTTGCAAAAAAATTAAAGTATATCATTAAGATACAAATTAAAGAGCAATTTTAAGGAACAATGCCCAATTACAAACGACGCAACATATTTTACTGTTATCGGAAGAGCTATCATCAGAAGATTAAATCGAAAACCAAACGATAAAATAAGAAATCAGATATTACTTAAACGGTTAAGAGATGAATAAGATGCTCACATTTGGCACCTTTTGCCTGTGTGAAGGATATGTCACACGAAAAACTCCCAGAAGCATAAAGAGTTGATGCAGGGAAAGAGTAAATTTGGAGGACGTGGACATTATGTCTCGGATGGAAGGATCTCTCTAAGATCAAGGATAAAAGCAAAGAGGAAGAATGCCAAAATGCCACATTGGCAATCGCGGGATCGTTGTGTATATCCTTGAACGTTTTAAAAATATAAAATTATTATGCCCTCAAAGCCACACTCACATTTATGCATTAAAAATATTCTTTAATCATTGGATTAAAATACAGACCTTGAAATTAAGAAAAGTTAATTCGCAATCTTCATCCAAAGGCTTGTGCAAGTCCCAACATACGCCATTTACAAGAGCAACGGCGCTTCGGTCGACAAAATGCCCAGAAAGATGTTTCGCGCAGTCATTTGGAGTCGATATATTTTTGGTCATGATTAATTCAGAAGGAGTCCCAGGAGGGCCAACATATTTGACGTTAATTGTATCAACTCTTGGAGTTACATTAAGCTGCTGCCTTTTGCTACGATGTTTAAGCCATGATGCCAATCTGTATGAATGCAACGAATTGCCCTGAGAATGATCGCTATGGAGAGAGGCATTAAAAATACGTCCAAGGACTGGGCGCGAAGAACGTGCACACAAGGAGACAAAAGATACGGTCATTGCACAGGCGAATAAAGATATCAACAGTACGTTTAAAAATAAATTGAAATTTTTTTATAGCACTTTTTAAAATAAATTTGGCTTAATTTGATCTGCTTAAAAGTTTACCTGCTGATCGCGCGAACTGCAATCTGTTCGTGCTTCCATGCCATGGCTGACTTGTCTGAACTTGAGAGCAAGATCATCAAACAAGTTGAGGTACTTCTTTGTTATACTAATTCCACAAGTATTACTTTGGGGACAGTAATTTGAGTCGTGATCGTTTCTTGCAAGTAAAAATCAAAGAGAATGATGGCTGTACGTCATCTATATTTATTATTTCCTTAGGGATTG